CGTTCATTCCTTCGATCGCGGCATCAAGCTCTTCGTTCCTTGCTTTCGAAGGTAATGATGGTGATGATGCTTGTATGGTAATTGGAAGCAGTAGCAGAAATTTTGGAATCAAAGTAAAATAATACTTGTATGGTTTACTTTTGAAAAAAAAAACAAAAAAACTACTGAGATTTTGATATTTTGTTTTGCAATTTGCATATGTAGCTTAATTACTTTTGTGATAAAAAGAGTCACTTTTGTGGAAAAAAAAGGGTCACTTATGTGATAAAAAAAGGGTCACTTTTGTAAAAAAAAAAAAGGGGTCACTTTTGTAAAAAAAAAAAAAGGGGGTCACTTTTGTAAAGAAAAAGGGTCACTTTTGTAAAGAAAAAGGGTCACTTTTATAAAGAAAATGGTCACTTTTTATAAAAATGTTCGATGTACAATAAAATTATTGTAAAACGGGGGCATGCAAAAGTTTTAGTTGTTAGAATACGGTGCTGAGTACATCGGTACTTAAATGTGGAATGTTGGGTACTAAACATCAAATCAACAGCTAGCATTTGGCTTAATTTGATATAGTAAACGCAACAGAACACTATTTTCAATCTGTTCAAATACTCGGTCAGGTATGATGACTGACGAAAGATCACTGATAATAGCAGTAAAAACTACCGCATTTAAGATCATAAATTATCAAAACATACTTTTATTTTCAACACAACTTTAAACAATTTGTGGTGTTACACACTTACACAGTTGCAGTGGACTTGAAGTTATGGGCATTGACATTGAGCATTTGGGTTATAGTTGGAACTTCATGGTTTCTAATGCATAGGATTTTTGGAGTTTATCTCAATAACTTCGGAGTAATGATCATAACAAACAAGAATATAGAGATATGTTGGATTCGTCACTAATTAATCTTGGAAATTTGTCTATGAAAATGTGGAGGAATCTAGTTCACTAATATTTATAACTAATATACATTTGAGGTTGTGGGTAAATGCCGGATTTCGTTAGATATGTTTCATATTTTTATATCTTCTCAGTTTTATTTTGTTAGGGATTACTTTTTTAGTGTCGGTTTTACTCAGTCAAAGGTTACTTGATCAGTCAGGAGTTACTCGATTGTTCAGGAGTTACTTGATCAATGTTTTGGTGTGTGTTAGCCGGTCATGGTGTGCACAGCTACGTAGAAAACACATTTTTTTTTTAAATAATATTGATTCATTAATAAAAATTCATACAACATCTAAAAGAGATATAGATCTAACAAATACATAATAACTGTGTTTAAAAATAAGCGTGTAATTGTGTTTGATTTATACGGAACAAGTCAACGAAAAATAAGAACGGGAAAATAAAAAAGAAGATAAAGAATAAACATAAGGATTTACGTGGTTTAGTCAAATTAGACCTACATCGACGGGTGGGGTTTTGGGTTTCGGAAAGTCCGACTTTCCGCGGAAACAAAACCCGACCCCAAGACCCGCTCACAATTAATATAACTAATAAGCATAATAAACAAGATAAGGAGAAAGACAATATTATCCTTGGCGCGTGCTTCACTAACTTTATGAGCTCTTAATTCGAAAGCTACGAGTCCCGCAAATGCGTAGACCTCTAACGGAAATCCACCCACAACACGACCAGTCCGACACTTACTCAGATTTCAGCTGAGCTAGACCAAAAATAAGACTACTCGAGTTTTTATGAACTTAAAGGTATTCTCTCTTTTAGAGATGCCTTATTGAGTTCAACTCAAGTGGGTATCTCAAATCTCAATATTTTGGTATTTATAGAGAATTCCCACCAACATTCCTCTCTCCCATCAATGTGGGAGGGTTGGAAAAAAAAATCTATTTTCAATTTTATTTTTAAATCAAAAATCAAAAGAAAAAAAATACAATAATTACTCAACAAGTGTTAAGCAAGGAGGGAGAGAGTAGGTCAGGACCACAAGGGATGGGGGGGGGGGACCAAAGCCTTGCTCCCCAAGCTTCCCAAACCGCCCTCCCTTGTTCTCTCGGCTCCAACCAACTGGCAGGCCTGGCCTTGGGCACCAAGGCTGCTTTGCTGGCGCTTCGTGCCTTCGGCTGGGCGCCAGCTGCGTGGGCTGCTGCTGCCTCGGCCCAGCATGCCTTACATGCTTGCGGTTGCTGGCCGAGGCTCTTGCGCGCCATTACTAGCATGTTAGCATGCTACTAGCTTGCTAGCCATGTGCTGCGCTAGCATGCTTGCTAGCGATGCACGGCTAGCTATGCTAGCATTGGCGTGTTAGCTTGCTGCGCCATGCACCAGCCAACGTTACAACCTGCCTCGGCATGGTGCGGCGTGCAGAGTAGTTGCCATGCTAGCACCATATGCCCCTAGCACCCGGTTTGCTTGGGGCATTCCGATGCTAGGGGTGTTTTGGTAATTGTTGATTAATTGATTTTTAGCGTCTCGTCGTTTTATTAATTCGACTCGACTTGCGACGCTCGGTCTCGACGCTCCTAGCTCGATGTCCGACGTCTATGTTCATAATACTCGAGCGACTCATTAATTCCTTTCAGATTAATTCGTCATGACGAATCGTTAGTTTGCTTGGGTGTAACCCGAAGGGATCAGTCAAGATTAAGCTGTAATATTAATTATACATTAATATTATTGATCGGAAGCGGTCTCTAACTAGGCATTCTAATCACTTGACCTCACTGAATAATTAGCTTTTTAATAATTCCGCACCCTCTATCCGAATAATACACTTGTTCAAAGGACATTAGTCCCTCTTTTTCAAGCTAAAGGCTGGGTTGACTGAATGCTCGAGTCTTGGTATAATCTTAAATGATATTTTTTACCTTGCTAGTATTTGCATATCTTTTGATGTTTCTTTTGTTGGGAGAAAGGGAAATAGTGTAGCTCACACACTTGCTAGTTGCTAATGTTAGTAGATCTTTTGATGGTTTAAGGGTGTGGATCGAAGAGATCCCCCTTGTGTTATAACTGAGGTGGCCTTTGATGCCCCTTAAGCTTTCTAAATAAAATTCTGGTTCTCTTCTCTCGTAATTGATCAACTTAAGGGTAGTCCTTTTATAATACAAGAAAACCCTAATAAAACCTTAAATTGTTCCCGAAGTTTACTGAAATAGCCATCATAGAAAAGATATAATTTTAGGAAATTATCCATAAAACAATTAAGCAAAAGTCAGACCAAAATTCTGAAATTTGCGACTAGGCATGAGCGTGCCTTGTCGAGTACTTCATTAGCAAATTTCCAGCATTGTCAGTTCTTTGTAAAACGGCCACAACTTTATCAAAATTGGGCATATGACCTATCATTGGAACTTTCTTGAAAAAAGCTGTCACCTCTAACTTGAATCACCTCACAATCACTTATAGTTTGAGAGATATTTGCATTTGAAGTGAGCCCTACTAGATTTCGAGACATAATTATTTAACAAATTGAATCAAATAAAAACATTATGTATGTAAGCAAATCTACAATCGTTGTTGCAAGTCGTGCATTGTTCATACCCCCTTCTTCGGCGAGGGGGTCAATTGATCTGTAGTAGTCGTGAAGAAATTTTTCGTCTGATTTGTTAGATTGTAATCGAACGATTAACCTCCTTTTCGATCCCGCACAAAGTTTTACCTATGAAGAAACTCTAGATCATCTATAGAAACCCATGAAATAAAAAAAAGCAAATTCTCCCTCAAAAGACCAAAAGAGAGAAGAAAAACCCGGTCTTTTGAAGGAGCCAAATCATCTAAAAAAGAAGAAACATTCTGTATTTTGAAGGAGAAATTATCCTCCTAAAAAAAGGAAGAGTTATTATAAACCTAAAATAAGAGAAAAAACACACAAAAACAAAAATTAGGGCCGAATTTGCCATTGATAAAAACTGATTGAAATCCCTCTAAAATTCAACAATAGATGTTAGGATTTTAGAGAAAAGAGAGAAGCTAGGCATTGATTTTTTTTATTAATTTTTAAATTACCACCCAAAAATGTATCCATTTTCAAAATAACCACCAGTTAAATTTTTATTTTTATTTTTATTTTACCACCCCTTAAATTCAAAAACTACTCAGATTACCACCCATTTCAAAATTCTGGTGGATTTCTCTTATGTAGGCCCCACCTAACGGCTCTTAGTGGTAACAGGAAGAAGATGATCAGTAGTAGTGGCAAATTGACAATTCAGATAACAAGCTCTTGGTTATTTTACTTGTTTTCTTTTGGTTTTATGTTGTCTTGTACTTAATAAACTGGTTTAAAGGGGAGGTGGATTGAAAACATGGTTGATTGTAATGCTTAAACATAGCCGTTACTAGCCATTGGGTAGGTCCACATGCCATAAATCCACCAGAATTTTGCAATGGGTGGTAATCTGAGTAGTTTTTTTAATTCAAGAGGTGGTAAAATAAAATAAAAAATTAAACGAGTGGTTATTTTAAAAATGGATACATTTTTGGGTGGTAATTCAAAAATTTTCCTTTTTTTAATGCATCATTTAGATTTTAGAGTTGTAAATGAAAAATCATAACTTTTAATATTATTAGTAATTTGTTTTGATGAATTTATTTGTATTTTGTTCTTATGTACTAACATAAAACCAAAAAAAAAAAAAAAAAAAAAAAAAAAAAAAAAAAAAGTTTAAAGAGAAATGAGGGAATATTAAGAAATTTCAAATCGGACAATTTTCTTGTAAAAAATAAAATAAAATTGAGAAAATAAATTAATATTCTCTCGTATTTTATATGGACGGATCTAGGGAGTCTAGATAGGACCAAGGCCCACCCCCATAAATAGTTAAGATTTTATGTTTCAAAATGTCATGCTATTCTATCTTTTTTTCATCAAAGCAAAAGCAACATCCTCATTGCAATTAAAGAGCGTTAGCCTTAATGTCTTTATTTTCTTTTGGTTGTATACTTTGTAAGTTTGTAAGGATGGGACAAAAAAAAAAAAAAAAAAGGTTGAGAGAATCAGTTAGCTGATTTTATAACATTATTGAAAATAATAGTACCAATTTTGAATATTTGAATGAACTTTGATCAGTATTTTTATCTTATGTTTAGGCATGATCAAATTTGTTTAGCCTTTTTCTTTTTTTATTTTTTAACATAGCCCTAAAATTTTCTCTGTAATTACTTTTTTGAAAAGAAAATAAGTAAATAACACAACTTAAGTTGATGTTCTAATCTATTCAAAAAAAAAAAAAGATGTTCTTATAACACAGCTTTAGTTGAAATGAATAGTTTTACATCTGAATTAATGAACGGAAAGCATTCCAAAAAAAGAAAAAAAAAAGTTGTGTAACTAATACTAAGCATTCACACCATGCTTTGAACATGCGCAAAAGAATTAAATTTCAGCAGTATACTATTCTACTGAAGACATTCGTTAAATAGCTTCAATTCATGATTCAAATAAAAAAATGGTCAAAAAGTTCGAAATTCCTTGAAAGAAAACAGAGAATTGACTTCAATTCAAACGAAGCAAGCTATATTAAGCTACAGCTAGCAGAGAACGTACTCTTGTACTTCTATTAAGAGCAATTTCATAGCTACAAACATTGCTTAGCAAGACTGCTACCTCGAAAATGCTCGATTTTCAACGTAAAAATTGTAACAGTACAATTATGGTTAGACTTGAAACTTCAAATACTAGACTTTAACCAGTACAGTGTCAAAAGCTAGAAAGTCTTTTGTATCTTCTAGTAAAAGGTCAGTGGCAAACTGAACCTTTGAACCTTGACTACTATAATCCACACGAAGCAAACCAGTCCTAACATTCCATCCTTGACTCGATGAAATTCTAAGTTCCTAACGCGTAAAACTAATATACAAACACAACAATGCTCATACAACAAAACATTTGTCAAATAAATGCTTTAAGGCTACCATATGAAGATAAGAGTCTCTACACTCATGTCAACTAGTCATGAGCAAGGGCATGGAAGAGGCAGTCTCGACTAGTTGATCCATCTCAACGTCTTTAACATTCTCATATCTTTCTGATAAGCTTCTTGACTCGAATAGATTCCCATCACTACTGGATCTGTATATCCAGGTTTTACTTTCAGAATTTAGAATTTCTGCCTCATCAGTACGATTACTTGTTATCTTGTTTCGGTCCAATTGCCTTAAGAAACATTCCTCTATTTCTCTCAAGGAACAACCACCTATTTCACTCAAGGAACCATGGCCTACTTCACTTAAGGATCCGCCTTCATCATCATGTTCATACTCTTTATCGTGATTATAATCAGCAGATTCATCACAATCAGAGCCAGGCCCTCTTGAATCACAGCTCGTATCCATTTCCTGCTGGCTGTCATATTCCTCATCACTTTCCTGGCCTGACGAACGGGATGACATTGGTGAGTAGTTCTCGTCAGTGACAGCCTCTTCACGTTCCCTAAGTGTTTTTGTTATAAGTGTTTTGAGCAAGTTCATGACTTGAACAGCATGCATTAGAGCAGTGAGCGGATCAGACATCTGCATGCATTAAGCAGAGATGATTAGCTTGATAATGGATGAGCCAGAATAACTGAAAAACAAATAGATTGATAGACTGTTCATCATTTAACCAATGTGCTTGACAACAATCTTCAGTTTTAATGATTAACTATAGGCTAGTGAAGTTACTTCATACTACTATGGTTTTTTGTTATATTTTGGGTGTCAGTCTCATATGCCAAGCTAATCGTGTTGAAAATAAATTTATAAGTGATATAGCAGTCAGCAGAAAACTTCTTATACCCTTGGGCCTTGGCCGAAAAACTTATACAGAACCTTCTTATACCTGAGTCATGTTTGGGGCAAAAACCATAGCAATATTTCTGGCACTCATCTTATTTAACTCCTCTTCCTCTACCACGTCAGCCATAAGATCAATAGCCCAATTGAGAAGTGCTGCTTCCATTGGTTTAAGCTGTTTCACCAGCTCAAAGTAATCTTCTTCACTGTTACATTGAAGAACTTGCTCTGGTGAAAGACCATCCAATACTCCAGAAGGGAGCTCCCGAAACCAGGTCTTTATAAGGCCAGCTAGACAGTGCACATCTATGTCGTCTGGCACAATGCCCCGGTTAAGCTGGTCCCTAACTTGTTCCTCTTGACCATTTTCTGGGTTTATACGAAATATTCCTTCTGCCTGCAAACATAACAAAAATCCTCTAATTAGATGACAAAAATAATCAAAATGAACAGAAATTTTATTTCCTTCTATTTTTTCTGCACTTGTGAGAGTTGTAGCTAATAAGCACAGCGCAAATTCATACCTTAAGACCACCTTGTGAATACAGCCTCTCTTGCATTAGCAAAAGTATGAAAGGGACACTATTTCCTTTGGTGTCATACGCACATTTCATTGATTCTGCTGAAACACCAAACACGCTCACACTGCAAAGATGTAGATTCATTATCAAGTCAACATTACATTAAAGAAACATCAAACCAGATCAAATGTCAGGCACATTAGAATGTAAAAATATTTCGTTTCCTGAATGCAAAATCCGACAATCATAAGAAGCTTAAGGCTGGAATGGACTACAACATCTGAAAACTTAGTTATAGCATTGTGCCAGATGACACTCATGATCATAGTAGTATTTTCTCTGTTGCTCCAAGTAACAACTGTGAAACCTCATCGTATCACTCAATCTCAGTACTATCCAGTCAATACGTGATTTTGTCATAAGTTGTCAAAACAAAAAATTGAAATGAAAGAACATACAGTACATGATTTTTATTAAAGTTCAGATAACTGTAAACTGTTAAAACTAGTCCCAAATTCCATATAGAAGAATCTTAATTAGTACCCCGTATAATTTTATAACACCAATTAACGCGTGATTTTGTCATAAGTTCTCCCTTGATACCAATTCGGTAAATGTAACACATGGTTATAGCATAACGTAGCAGCCCAATAACAAAACCCTTTATTGGAAAGATGAATATAGATATACCTTCCTATAATAACAAGTATGCCAAGATAGAGCAATTGAACAATTGAAGCAAACTACATTCTTAGTTATCAAGATAAGTATATTTTATGATAAGCCTAAAAGTTGAAGAAAGCTGAATATTTATACTCTTTCTCCTCCAATCCAAACCACGAATTTCGGGTTAAAGCTAAACACGAAAATTACGTTTCTTGGCCACATTAAAGGTAGTCAAACCTAGTACACTATAAGGGGTAATTCTTCCTAACAAATGAACCAAAAGTGTCCGAATCTAAATACAATTATGTGTATTGCACGGGTTTAAATCTATTAGACGCCTTTTACGGTTTTACCAGTGAAAGCAACCCTTACTAAAAGAAACAAAAATAACTTTACTATAGAGTAACAAATTGCATTCCAATTAAAGAGAGTAGTTAAAATTTTGAAATTTGACAAAAATAAGAGGGGCCAGTGATTTAATTAAAAGTCATAAATGAAGAGAGCGCAACAACAACTCATTCAGACTTAAAAATTAGAGCCTCATTTTTGACATTCAATTAATGAAATCACATGAAAATCCTGCACTTATTCAACCAAATTAAACTCAAATTCTAACCAATTGAACAAAAAATTAAAAACCCAGATCCGTAAACACAAATTCAAGACCATGAAAAGAAAAAATTAATAAAAAAATTTACCTAGCACTTGGAACTTTACGAGGGATTTCAACTTCAAATTCAACAGGAAGACCAAGAAAACCATGAAAACGATCAAAAGTAACATGAGTAATATGTTGAACATTAGTTGGCCAACCAATATCCATTGTATGAACTGCTGAAATAACTTCTTCGGTTCGATCTACGCGACATGAAACCATGGACTTTCGAAGCGCGGATATAAGAAATGCAAGTAATGATAGCTGACTCTGCTCATCAGTAGACGAACATGAACCTGATTTTGTTGGTGCAGGACTTTTTGTACCGCCACCGCCACCGCCACCGCCGCAGCCTCCGCCTTTAGTGACCATTATAAGGCCAGTCATGCTATGATGTTTTTGACAACTTTGTGTGTGTTGGTGTGAGAGAGATAGAGAGGAGTGGAGAGAGAGTGGGATTTGAAATGGGGAGTTTGGTTTTGTTGGTTGTGTTGTGTTTTGTTGGTTTTTATTTTTTTTTAAATTGTGGGATACTTTTTTGGGGAGGTGGGATTCAAACGGCCACCTGCTTTCAAATTTTGTTAGGTGGGACCCCATTTTTTTTTATTATTATTTTTTGTAAAAATATACTCCATATTTATTTACTTTGTGATTTCCTAAGTTACCCTTGTATTGTTTTAAATGAACTTGATTTTTTGCTTGCTTAGACTATCTCCTTGTGAGACTCAAATTTGAGTGTTGAAATACAAAATGAGTTGTGATTAGGGGATTTTTCCCCACCAATCACCATCTGACAAGTGGACCAATCAGGTTCCGCCATGTGTCCGTCACATGGGCCAATAGGAGCCTGCCACGTGTCAAGCAATGATCCGTCCACTATGGACCAATTACGACACGACACGTGTCCTTCCCATGACACCTGGGATAACCGGTCACCTAGGCCCAACTTCCGAGGGAAGCCCAATCAGCCCAAGGTTAACCTAAACCTAGATTGACACGTTTCCCGAGGTTATAAATACCTCCCTTAATCCTCATTAAGGGAGATTACACAAAAAACGCAGATTACACACATTAAACACTCTCACCTAGAGAGACCCAATCACTTTAATTTCCGCATTAATTACTCCTTAATCAAGTACTAACTTGACCGTCGGAGGCGGATCTCCAATCATCCGGAGCATCCGTTTGTTTTGCAGGTACAGGCGTCCGGTTCCAGTCTCGGAATTGTAACTCTCCCGCAGGTCATCAGAAAACCCCGAAACATCTTGGCGCCGTCTGTGGGGAGAGTACTTCTGAGATGGCATCCACGTTTGTACCGGCTCCTGAAGAGAGACGTCCCCTGGACGACCCTCTAGTTCAGTCGGACCACGATATTGAGAATGAATTTGAAGTTGAAGCTCACACAGCTTCAGACGGGACCCTAAGGGCCCGACGTACCCGTCATACCGAAAGGAGGGAACGGGAACATCTTCAAACTGGAAGCGAGCCAGCAGGCGCACCGCCTGTTCGGCAGCAGCCGACTGATGGGTCTGCTCCCATCACAAGGAACGAACTCATGACCTTCATGAGGGACTTCAAGGGAGAAATTCAAGAGTTGATCAACAAGAAGCCGCCTGCTCTGGACAAGGAGCAGTCGGCTAAGAAACCCTTCACTTCACGGAAGAGGAAACCAGTTCAAGGGCGAGAGGCGACCCCTCATCCTAAATCTAGGAAGTGGGAGCCACCCGCCCTTGATTTCACAAAATACCGTTTTCGTACTCCAGGAAATAGGAAACCTGTTCGTCATATTCAGGCGGACGGGTCGAGGAAAACATACACAGACGCTCGGCTACTGCTAGAGCAGAAGAAGAGTGACCGATTGTCAGAGTCGGCCTCTACTTCAAACTTCCAAGACAGTCTGCGAAATACCTCGATGAGGCATACTCAGTCGTATCATGAGAGTCAGTCAGGCGGCACCTCCCGTCAGTCCGGCTTTCATAGCGACCAGGCGGTACCAAACTTACCGTTTGTACCGCAACAACAGTATTTTTTACAGCCACCTCCGTTTGGTGGACATGCAGCAAAAAATGTCCAACCTATGGACTGGCAGCTACGGTTGCTTAGACTTGGTGAACAACCGTCGGCCTTCTCCAAGGAAATTACTGAAGCCGCTCAGCCGGCCAAAGTGAAAAATGTATTAGTAGGCGCCTATGACGGCACTACTAACCCAGAAGACCATCTGATGGCATTCACCAACCTGATGTACCTTCAAGGGTTGGATGATCCCACTTGGTGCAAGTGTTTCCCAGCGACTCTCAAAGGAATCGCACAACAATGGTTCGGCAACCTGCCGACTGGTTGTGTAAATAACTTCAAGACGCTTGCTAACTTATTCACCTCCAACTTCGCCATGAACATCCCTGCGAAGAAGACGACCCTTGATTTAGGAACAATTCAGCAGGGCGAGAAGGAGGGGATTCGTTCTTACATCAGGCGGTTTAACCTGATGAGAATACAGATTCAAGGGTTACCGGATGAAGTAGCCTATACTGACTTTTTCAGAGGTCTCAAAGACGGGTCAACCTTCAAATTTTATTTGGTCCGAAAGAGGGTGGCGACTCTTCAAGAGGCCTTGATTGAAGCAGAAGCCTATATACAGGCGACTGATCTTTGTAGTACGGTAAAACAGTCAGACGGGAAAAGGTCCGACAAAAGAGAAGGACGACAGAAGCAGTCGTCAAACAAAGACGAGAAGAGAAAAGAGGTCTGGGCAACTGATTCCTCTAAACAGCCGTCCCAGAAGAAGAAAAACGAATTCAAACCATACTCCCCAAAGTATGTGTTTAACAAGGATAGCCAATTTATCCTAAAGGAAATCAAGGGACGGATCTCAATTGAGAAGCCGGTCCCCATGAAGGGTTCTGCAAACAATCGGAACCAAGAAAAATTCTGTGATTATCATGAAGATGTTGGTCATCACACCAATGAATGCATCAGTCTCATGCGGTACCTGAACCGCCTGGCTGAGCAAGGTGATCTTGACACTTATGTCAAGAAATCTACGGCGAACACTTCCTCAAAAAAGCAGTCGACCAAAAAGAATCAACAGGCCGACAACTCCGATACAGATGATGCAGTCGTCTACACCATTGCAGGCGTCTTCTTAGGAGGCGGCCCCACTATTAGGGGCAACAAAGACAATATCAGACGGTTAGATGTAAATTTCGTTCCCCAAGAACGGCCCTCCAAATATTCATTTCCTGAGATTGTCATCACTGAAGAAGATCTAGGAGGGGTAAGAGGGCCGCATGACGACCCTATCGTTATTGAATGTAAAGTGGCCAACCAGAGAGTTGGCCGAATCCTCATAGATACCGGAAGCTCCTCAGATCTCATCAGTAGCAAATGTCTGTCGAAACTAAAATATCAGACTGATTGCATACATCCGGCATCCCACCCTTTAGTAGGGTTTGGAGGAGGAGTCGTCCACCCAGTGGGACGAGTGGATTTACCCATCCGCCTGGGCGAAAAAGGGGAAGGACGACACATGGTAGTCCGGTTCCTGGTAGTAGAAGAACTCTCGGCCTACAACATGATTCTGGGACGACCAACCCTGAATAATTCCAAGGCTGTTATAATCCCATCTCTTTTGTTGCTCAAGTTTGAGAGGGATAATGGAACAGTCGGGTCCCTAAGGGGAGATCAGAGGATGGCCCGAGAGTGCTATCTCTCGGATGTCAAGCCCACTGTTATGGCCACTGGGTTGAGTGGTGGAAAAATAGACCTTGACAATGTCAAGGAGAGTGCGCCTGTTCAAGAAGCAGGCGACAAGAAGAGAAAGGCATCCCAGACAGGGGCCGCAAGAAAAGACAGAAAATAGCAATCATTAGCAGAGGAGCGGTCGGATGAATTCCGCCCTCAGCCAGCTGGTGAGCATACGGACCTGATGTTAGATGACTCGCGTCCTGACAGAACAATCAAGGTTGGGACGGCTTCTCTAAGGGACCTAGGTGACGACTTTCACAAACTATTGAAAGAATACAAGGACATCTTTGCATTCGAAGTCCATGAAATGCCAGGCATTAGTCCTGATCTGGCGGTACATAAACTGGCCGTGGATGCGAAAAAGAAGCCGGTACGGCAGAAGAAGCGGAACCATGGCGAAGAAAGAAGTCAGGCGGCAGCCGCCGAAGTTAAAAAATTACTTGATGCAGGGTTCATTCGGCAATGTTACTTCCCAGACTGGGTTGCAAATGTGGTGCTTGTTAAAAAGCCGAATGGCACCTGGCGAATGTGTGTAGACTACACAGACTGAAACAAGGCGTGCCCCAAAGACAGTTACCCTCTGCCTAAAATTGATAACCTTGTCGACTCAACAGCCGACCATGCTTTGATGAGCTTTATGGACGCCTACTCTGGTTTCCATCAAATTCCTTTATGTAAGAAAGATCAGGAGAAGACGGCCTTCGTCACTGATCAGGGGTTATACTGTTACACGGTCATGCCGTTTGGTCTTAAGAATGCCCCGACCACTTTCCAGCGAATGATAAACACTGTGTTCTTTGATCAAATTGGGAGAAATGTCGAAGCATATATTGATGATATGATTGTCAAGTCTAAACTTCAGAAAGATCATCTGTCGGACCTCTGAGAAACTTTCGCCACACTCAGGCGGCACCATGTCATGCTCAATCCCAAGAAATGTGTCTTTGAAGTTGAGTCTGGGAAATTTCTCGGATTCCTTATCAATCAGAGAGGAATAGAGGTGAACCCTGAGAAGGTGCAGGCGGTCATTGACATGCAGTCGCCTTGTACCATCCGAGAGGTTCAGAAGTTAACAGGTTGTCTGGCGGCCTTGGGAAGATTTCTAAGCCGATCAGGCGACAAATGCCTATACTTTTTCCAGGCAATTAAGAAAAAGGCAAGGTTTGAATGGGGGCCGGATGCTGAGGCGGCCTTCCAGAAATTGAAAGTTCACTTGCATTCCTTGCCGAGGCTGGTCAGCCCTTTGCCCAAAGAAGTACTCTACATGTACCTGGCCGTCTCTGATCATGTGTTAAGCGCTGTTCTCCTTGCTGAAAGAGACGGCTGTCAGCTCCCGGTCTACTTTGTCAGTCATGTACTGAAAAATGCCGAGTTGAGGTATCCTTTAGTGGAGAAATTTGGTCTTGCACTCTTCATGGCTGTTAAAAAATTGAAGCCCTACTTTTTGGCACATGCAGTCGTCGTGTATACAGACCAACCTATCAAGTGGCCACTGACCATCATGGAGTCGTCAGGCCGAATGATCAAATGGGCCATAGAAATACAGAGCCTCGAAGTTACTTTCGAGCCTAGAAAAGCAGTGAAGGGGCAAGCCTTTGCTGACTTTATTGTTGAGATAACTCGTCCTCCGGACTCTCACGTTACAGACCAAGTCTGGAAGGTATATGTGGATGGAAGCTCTACTTCAAATGGTTGTGGAGCAGGAGTCATATGTCAGTCGCCAGAGGGCGACAGGTACGAGTATGCTTTACGCTTCAGTTTTCAGGCCTCAAACAATGAGGCAGAAT